TGCAGAGCAGTTGGAATGGAAATTAGCTGCTGTGGCAGCTAATGCAGAACTGGGAAACATCTCCCCCCTCCCCCCCCCCAAAAAAAAACCACCCAGGGGCAGAAACCCAAGTCTTAAGGGACAATTTTGTTTGCAGAAGCCAAGTAAGAATAGTACACATAATTGACAGTTTATGCTCCTGCATATGTTATACATCTACAATATCAGTATTTAATTTTTAAATAATGTTTTACAAATTCAAACTGAATGAAGTACCCTTGGAATAAAGCTTTGCATCAGTATTCACTACCAAAACTACTCTAAAGTCCAAGGATTGTGTTAAAACAATAAGCCTAATCAGGTTAAAAATGTCAAATGAATATATTATTCTTTGGTTTATGGTTATTTATTAATACCAATGAGTATTTAAAAATAATCCATCTAATTAATATGTATGATAATAATTATTCAAATGGATTATTAGTGGTGAATTTCAGTTATTATTACTGTTTATATCTTATATTGATGAATGAATTTTCATCAATATATTTATAACTTGATATTTTTTCATATATTTACTTTACTTTCTTTACCAAGAATTTAGCCTTTACTGTCAAGTAAGAGGTAATAATAAAGAAGTTAAAGAAGGGATCTGATTTGGAAATAATGATGTATTATTATAATTATGTCAATACTTAGCTATATTCATATATTGTATAAGTAATCTTAATTAGTGAGATGCCTAATTTTAGAAGGCTGCCAAAATAGTCTTGCAGCAAATTTATGTAAAGCACATAAGCTGTTGAATTGCAGATTAAAGTATTTTATCCATTCCACATTACAGAAATATAGAAAAGGTTCCCAGGGATCACATACTCTCATTTTTTGCAGACATGTTATCAGATTAATATTGGATTATTCTGGAGACTCAGTCCTAATTTTTCTGGAATATTATTTTCTTTGATCTAAACATTTCTTTTTAAAATTGATACAGAAATTCTTGGAACTGGCTAAACAAGTAGGAGAATTCATAACATGGAAACAAGTTGAATGTCCGTTTGAGCGTGATGATAATATAATCCACTATTTACATACTGCCCCTATCTTTACCGAAGATGGTAAGAACACCCTGATTTCATGAATGAATAGGGATCTGCTACTGACATTGTTCTGTATGATTGACTGAAAATATGTTTTTTGTTTTTTTTTTGGAATGGGCTCTTGTACAAATCTGCATTGTCTACAATTGGTAGCAATTAGGTTGATTATGGAGGACATCTTTTTATAGTTAATCATTCCACAGAGCAATAGACCTGAAGGCCTTGCTGTAATAGCGCAACATGCAAACAAATCTATTCTTTTGCAAATCGTGTTTGTGATGGCTTCAGGCACAGAAAGTAGAGGCCAACTTCCACCTTTTGTGCTATGCTTGGAAAAAAACTAAAGTTATTTTGGATGCAGTTAATCATGCCCATTTGTTATGGAGCTTTTGTCTGATTTTTCTTCCTATCCTCTTGATAGATCATGTTACCCTGTGTCCTTTCATAATAAATTAATTCAGTCATATCCAATTATCCTCATGTCAGAGATGAGGCATGGATGAATTAACTCTGCCTACAGGCTTTATAGACTTTTGGTATGTTTCTGACCTTTGCACTGTTAAATAAAAATCCTTAAAACGAATTCACACAAATGGTATGAAACATTTGGGACATTATTGGTTATAGATACATTCAGATACAGCAAGTAAAAATAATAATTTTGAAACCCCCTAAGAAAGCGTCAGAACTTTAAATGAACAAATGAAGCAATTACATTTGGTCCCATAAAAGAGAAAGATTCAGTTCGTCCTGAAGGTTCTTGCATTCTGGAGTGACAAAGGGCACTTCAGCAGATGGGTCACTCATCTTAGGCAGTGGGTTTGGGGTCTGATGCAACGGAACAGGCATGGAAATACAGGTATTTTGGGGCTGTTTTAAGAACAAAGAATGGGCAGAAAGGCTTACATGGCATCTATGGGCTTCACACTTCCATGTTGTTTTCCCAAGTATTGTGACTTCTGCAAAGAAAAGCAGGAGGAAAGTGCACTGTTAGTAGATTCATTTCTAGGAGGTTTGTAAATATCATGTGAATAGAACTGTATTAGGCAAAAATGAGAACACCCTAATAAGTCCCAGTTTCTTAATCAAATCCCTGTCATCTGAGCATCAGATGGCTCCTGTGATGGCTCTCACATGNACTGCCTTAAGTTGCAAAAATAAATGGATATCAATAGATAGATAGATAGAAAGGAAGGAAGGAAGGAAGGAAGGAAGGAAGGAAGGAAGGAAGGAAGGAAGGAAGGAAGGAAGGTAGGTAGGTAGGAGGGACAATTGTACCTCTTCAGGCTAATCCGAGAAAATGGCTTTTTCTATAATGAATTATCTTGTATTCAAAATGAGTTGGGTGTTGAACTACATCTTTGCACTGGTTTCTACATGAGCTTATCCACTCCAAATTATACAGAATTAGTTATAGTTAGAAAAGTTCCAAATTCAAAATGAAACTATACATGTAAAGGATAATATAACTAAAGTAAACCCATGCTGTTTCACTTGATTTCATTGGTGTTGATCCATAACAAAATCAAGCTCTGTATAAAAAGCATTTTATCCATGGGTGCCAGTGTTACAACATAACTGAACATATTTTATTCATATGTGGGAATGTCTGCTGCGTGCATCACAGGTTTTTGCCACAAATATCTGTTCCATATGTTTGCTAAAGGGGATTAATTGTCAATGTTTATATGGCTTTGTAGATCCCTCTATAGATTGTTGATATTTACTAAATTCACATTAAAATTTTCCTTTGCATAAAATGATCTTATTTACCCATTAAATATTAACCTGTTAAACAATAATACCTAATCAGTCAAACACCTGCAATGTATTTAGTCTTTGTGGAATTATTGTACCTATGTTTGTGTCCTTTGCCTTTGTGTGTCCAGGGAAGATTAGTTCAGCCCTGCAGATATTTCATGGAACCATTAGGCCTGGCTCACATTACTGTTTGTTCATTAGAATTGAAAAGTTAATCTCTTTACTTTGTGTGAGTTGTTTTTTGTGCATCAATAATAGAACAGCCAGAGACAATTGTTATGCCATTCTCTTCACAGATTGTGATCCCCTTCTTCAGCCTACTGATCAAAGATATTTATTTTTTGAATGAGGGATGTGCAAACCGCCTTCCAAATGGGCATGTCAACTTTGAAGTAAGCACAACAAGTATTATTTATCCCAGCAAATGTTTCCTATACCATGGAGCTTTTGTTTCTATATAAAAAGAGATTCTTGCAATCTTGTTTCAAGATATATTTTTTTCAAACCACAAATGCATTCCATGTGTATGTACAAGGCCTGCACACCAGTTAGCTACACAAGAGAATTTTCTCAGCTCCTTTCCCCATCTTTAAAAAAAACATCCCCTGAAGATCAAAGGGACCTGTTCAGGTGATAGAAGAGGATGTAGTCAGAGGCAGAAACATCGATATTTACTTTGCCCACAAAATTATATTTTTCTCCTTATAGGATTCTTTAGCTCCCCTTCTTCTCCGCAACTATTTTTCTGTTATCACCCTTTCCTGCTCTGGGTATCAAACAGGGCCTGCTTTCTTCCAGCAGAATTTTGCAGAGAAGGAGAATCATAGCAAATTGTTTCTTCCATCTTATCACTTAAGAAAATGAGGTATTTTGGGGAGGATTATGACCTGGGAAGCAGCAGTAGCTACCCTGCAGAGCAGTTGGAATGGAAATTAGCTGCTGTGGCAGCTAATGCAGAACTGGGAAACATCTCCCCCCGCCCCCCCAAAAAAACCACCCAGGGGCAGAAACCCAAGTCTTAAGGGACAATTTTGTTTGCAGA